TCATACCAGTTAAAACCCACAGACTTTTGCTTTACTTTCACATATGCAGCATTATTATGCGGAATACTGGATATATGAAAAGGGTATATGTTTTAAATTATTAAATAATGCTGTATAAGTAAAGAAGTGTAAAATGCCTTGTCTTTCTGGATAATCGCCATCTTTGACGAAGATCTTGAGATTTTTTTCTTGATTAAGCGATTTCATAAAATAGCGAATTTCCGATATGATACCATACCTTCTTTCACGTACATAACTATTCTCGTTCAGTGCTGCCCTCTATATGGAAAGATATTTTCGCATGCCACAAGCCTTTAGCGCCCACGTACACCATAATCAACGTGGTTCACTGCTAATTATTATATAGTAGGTAAACTTGCTTCGTGTACAAAGCATATTTAAACTTTAGGCCTACTTGTCGATTTTTATGTGTCTGTTAGAACTTGTATTGAGATGTAATGGTATTGCATTATTCATGAGCTACGAAAAGGTAGATAATTAACTTAATGTGTTTATTTGCATATTTGTTTATATTAGTGAAATAATTGTCTTTAAAGTTGGTTATAAACTGCGTAGTTTTGCACCCGTATAGAACAATGTACGTTAAACGCTGTTCATTTTTACATAATAAATATAAAAGTAACACTGTGCAATTAGTCAATTAGAATATTCTGTTTCCATGTGAGCTGGCATGGCTAAGTGGTTAGGGCGCGGGTTCGAATCCACTTCACACCAAACATACTCGCCCTTTCAGCCGTGGGGGTGTCATAATGTGACGGTCAATCCCACTATTCGTTGGTAAAAAGAGTAGCCCAAGAGTTGGCGGTGAGTGGTGATGACTAGCTGCCTTCCCTCTAGTCTTACACTGCTAAATTAGGGACGGCTAGCGCAGATAGCCCTCGTGTAGCTTTGCGCGAAATTCAAAAACAAACAATTATGACTACCCGTACTGTTTGTAGGCTTTATTCTGATGTGGCACTTTCTGATTGGCGATGAAGAAGAAACAGCGAACGAAGATCATTCTCAGCACAGAAGTCGTACAGTACGGTAGAGATTAGACTGAAAAGCTAAATTATGGCACGCACCAAGCAAACTGCAAGAAAATCCATGGGTGGAAAAGCATCAAGAAAACAAATGGTCGCTAAAGCTGCTCGAAAGAGTGCTCCAGCCACAGGAGGTGTAAAGAAACCTCATCGTTACAGGCCCGGAACTGTAGCCCTCCGTCGTCACCAGAAATCAACTGAGCTGCTCATCAGAAAACTCCCTTTCCAGAGACTGGTGAGAGAAATCGCCCAGAACTTCAAGACCGATCTGAGATTCCAGAGCTCTGCTGTCCTGGCTCTTCAGAAGGCCAGTGAGGTATACTTGGTGGGTCTCTTCGAAGACACTAATCTCTGTACCTTTCACGCAAAGAGGGTGATAATCATGCCGAAAGACATTCAGCTCACCCGCAGAATCGGAAAGAGTCCGGGGCTCGTGGAAACCAGGGGTGTTCAGAAATGAAATTTCTCTTCAGCCCACTCACGGGATGATATTTGGTTAAGGGCTGAATGAAAAAAAAAAAAAACAAGGGGGGGGGAGGTAAGAGTAAGAACCAATAACACTGTGAATTATATATACGTAACCGTAATTTGGTACAGCTCATTTTCACGTGATAAAGGGGGTAAAATTCATACTCTTTTTTTCCCCTCATAATTTTTATATATTTCCAGTATTTTATATATAAATTCAATCATTTCAAGTTCGTAAGATCTTCCAGTAACGTTTTGATGATCATTGTCATAGTTAATAACTTATACGATCACCTAAGTGTAATTACTAATTTGTTACATTTTTTGTATTAAATGCTACCTGTTAATTAGTTTATATCTTACTTTTCTTGACTGAGTTTATTACGTCTCAGCTGAAGTTTCTGTTCCAATTCTTTTGTTGTTAGTCCGAGTGTGTTCTATAACAATATTTTACAGAATTAAACAATAACTTATAACAAATGCTGACTGTTTATAAAGCCCTTTCAAACGCTCTGCTGCTTTTTATTGTTGTGATGATGTCTGAATAATGGAAAGTCATGCTGTCAGTCTTAATTTTTTTGCATGAATTTTATTAATTATAATGTTGAACCCTCCTGTTAGGCGTGAACTGTGCATCAGGAAAATCCATGAGCAAGAGTTAAACCATGTAAAGAGTAAAAAGTCAAATGGAATTTGCATAATTGTTCTCTTTAAATAATTTCGTTATGTGAATAAGTTTTGTATTTTAATATTCTATTTACGGGTGATTATGAATTATCTAAACTACCTTAAAATGCATTTTTGAAACAAAATTTTGCGTAAAAGGCATTTATCACATGTTTAAAAAGTGTCTTGATTTTGTGTTTCGATTACCATTTTCTGTTCGATGATAAGGTTTAAAAAGACCTCTTATTTTTGATTTCCTTTGTGCTATTACGGTAGATGTGACTAGTTTTCACGAAACTTTCCTCCATCAGCAAGTAACCTTAAGTTAACATCCAACATCATTTTGATTAATTCATCTAAAGGAGAATCTTAATGAAGAGAAAACGATTTTGCAAATGAAGTTTTTATAACATTTTATTTATTTGGATTTGTTTGAGATGAAAGAGAACCTCATAGGAAATACAACCGCTAGATGACATCACCAGGTATCTAATATTTGATTGAAGGCGTTTTCTAAGGCTTCAAAGGTTTTATTGTTTGTTTGTAATTAAGCACAAAGCTACACTATGGGCTATCTGTGCTCTGCCCACCACGGGTATCGAAACCCGGATTCTAGCGTTGTAAGTCCGCAGATATACCGCTGTGCCACTGGGGGGCAAAGTTTTTATTATACAGCAAATTCTAATGATACGAACATCGTACTACAGATTCAATGGGTAAATTGGGTTTCTTCGCCGAACTTTGAACATTTTTAAAACGAGATAAATAATTTGTCGACTACTTTTGTATATCAAAGCTATCTCACGTTAGACTTGCTTTATTTTAAGCTGAATGTGTTGCTAAGTAATTTTTCTCACTGTTATTATCTTTCGTAATTAACCTCACATTTTTAAACAGATTTTTCAAATAAACGTTTTAAACTTAAAAATGAATAGAGACTTTATTTGACAGATGGGAGGGAGTAAAGCGTAATACATCTCCTGCATCGATGTGACAAAGCTAACTATCGTCTAGTGAGATTGAGTTTTTCTTTATATATATAAATGGAAGTATTAGATTAAAAATCTTTTTGAGTTCAGTATTCGCTAACAGCATCCAGCGTGTCCACGATTGATCTGAATCAAACTGACATACGTATCTTATACAAGAATTCATTTGATGTCACTTTCTTTTTACTTCAGTTTGATTATATGTCATCATGCTTCATTCATGCTTTGGGTTCATTGCACGTTTAACTTCACACTTCAATTTCAGATCTGTACTTAACAGAGACACCCCAACACGTAATCTGTTTGGCTGAAAACCACACTTTCTGGCAGAGTTATGCCACTCGCAAAATTACCCGAAACTCGATTTTTTTTTATCAATTTTCTTGCTAGAGCATTTTATTCGACTATAGCGGAATTCCCTGTAAAGGGATCGAAATAAATCCTAATTCAACATGAAATCTTTAACTTAGAGATTTTTCCCCAGTCCCTTTGGCTGATACAAACTTAGAAGACGGACAGTTTCTTTACATGATCTGTTTTCAATTTTCTAAAGCAATATACAGAGTGATGAAAAAATCGAGAACTACCACGATTTTTTTAATTTTACCGTTATAGCTGTTCGAAACATCCACCACCATTTATATGACGACTCAATGTCACAACATGGTTAGTTCCACGTGATCATACAAGGTAAGTAACGTTCCAACTAATTATTGTAACAAAAGAAGAGGCAGTTAGCGAAACACGGTTGTGACTTAGAAAAATTGCAGTAAAGGCGAGGCTTAGAGATATCATGAACGTGTAGAACTTTAGCATAACTCTGTATATGCCAAATAAATATAATCTTAAATATTAGAAATCTTAAATAAATGTGCATGAATAAACTTCTTTATCAATATAAAACACTAATAGATAATTCTATCAATAAAAATAAGAATGAAACATTGATTCAGATAACACCTTACCCATTGCTTGGTTTGAGATAATTTATTTTAGGTTTTTTTTATTTGTTGTTAAGTACAAAACTACACAATGGAATGACTGTGCTCTGCCTTCCGAGAATATCGAAACCCGATTTTTAGCGTTATAAGCCCTCAAACTTTCTGCTAAGCCAACGGAGGGCTTTTTTAGATATTGAGTCATCATAATTCAAACACTAAATGATTTGGTCTAATTAGTACTCTGATATTATTAGTAGATGAAGTGAAAGCTGAGTCAAGTTATATATATAAAGGAAACTACACATTTTGTAGCTAGCTAAAATAAGGAAACTATACATTTTTTAACTACATAAAATAAGGAACTATACAGTTTTTAACTACATAAAATGAACTATAAATTTTGTAGGTATATAAAATAAAGAAACTACACATTTTGTAGCTACATAAAATGAAACCACGTTTTGTAGCTAGCTAAAATAAGGAAACTATACATTTTGTAGGTAGCTAAAATAAGGAAACTATACATTTTGTAGGTAGCTAAAATAAGGAAACTATACATTTTGTAGGTAGCTAAAATAAGGAAACTATACATTTTGTAGGTAGCTAAAATAAGGAAACTATACATTTTGTAGGTAGCTAAAATAAGGAAACTATACATTTTGTAGCTAGCTAAAATAAGGAAACTATACATTTTGTAGGTAGCTAAAATAAGGAAACTATACATTTTGTAGCTAGCTAAAATAAGGAAACTATAGATTTTGTAGGTATATAAAATA